CCTCAGTGCAGCCGCCTGGCTCACAGGCACCAGCATATAGTCAGTCAGGGTGAGAATCTCACCAGCCAACCGCTAGTCTCAAAAACCTGCTGATGTCCCCCAGGATCACTGCCCCACGCATCTCATGCGTACAAATGCATGGCTTTGCCCCTGTCATGTTTCCCAGCTTTTCTCCTTGCTCACTCCTCATTGTCCAATCCTCAAGTTCTCACTTTTATTTGTGTTGTAACTTTCTATATGTAATTCCTCTTTTGAGTTCTTATACTAGGAAGACAATACGATATTTACACGTTTATTTCACTTAAGTATATCTTCAAGTGGCATCCACTTAAATATGAAGGCTTTGAGTTTATCATTCTTTATAGCTGAGTAATACTACACTGTATAAAAATACCACATCTTTTAGAAGAATGATTTTTCAAGATGAAAATATAATTATGAACCGGCATCTTCAAATATGTGTCTGGCTATGTACTTAAATTAGTTAATTGTACAGAACATGTTTTAGGCTTCTTTGTACCCAATTACTCAGGAGCAAAACTAAAAGTAAAAGAAAGAATTGGGAAAATATTTAAAACATATACACCAGAAAGTTATTCATATAAATGGTCAGGAAGGGTTTTTTAAATAAGCAGCCCAATTTTTTTCTAAGCAAGCATAGTAGAAAAAGAACATACAGTTTAAATAGGAAATTTCTAAAGGAAGAACTCCAAGTTACTAAGAAACATTTAAAAACAATTACAAAATCACCTGAAACCATACAAATACAAAGTACAGCAATAAAAAAATACTTTATTACACCTATTAAGATAGAAAGATTTTGGGGCCGGGGAAACGGCTCAGTGGAATAAGCACTTCCCTGACAAGTGCAAGGGCCTGAGTTCACTCCCCGGTTCCACGCCAAAAAAAAAGGTAAAATCTTCCTGAAGGTAACTGGCAAATGGCATGTAATCTGGGCTCATAATTAATTAAATTTCATATTCAACTTTAGAGCTTTTTATCCTATGGAATATTTAGATGTGCAAGTAATTTTAACATGCCTCGGCATGACAACTTGTAATAAATCCATTAATTCAAAAACTTTTTATTGAGAACTGAGGAAGTGGCCGATATTGGCAGACTTATTTTTCATTTGATATCAACATGAAACCATGTGACACCATAATAGCTAAGCACTCAGAAAACAGAAGCCTTGCAGAGTTGAGGAGCAGCTCACCAAATGCTCCGGGAAAGTGGGGTGCTCCCTCCTCTGTAGTACTCCGTCTCTGCTTTCCGCATAACATTTACCCCCTGAGCCGTAACACGCTGCTTCTCGCTTCTCTGACTTCCCACCATGCTGCGAGCCCAGTCACTTCCCTTAAGCCCATCACCTAGCGGATAGGACGCTTTCCGTACTACCAGGTAAAGGAACAAATAAAGGAGAACTGCTAAAGTTCTCTGCTTCAGTCAGCGCCTCATAATCATATTCAGTGAAGTGCAACAGAAAAAAAAGCCAACGCCTCACCTCTCGGAGATCGCATTCTTCCCACCATTCCCACTTTGTTCCACTTTGTCCAGCAAGCTGACATTTGTCACTTTGGGAGGGGAGGCTTGTCTATCTTGAAGTCTCTTGGGTGATGAGATGTCTGTAGAGTGAAAAGCAATGGTGGTCACTTGTAACTTTCAAACCACTAAAAATGCATAGTCTTTGCTTAAAACAGATACATTGATAATTCTTGCCAACATAAATTTTCACATAAGATATACCATCTTATTTTTAAATAGTTGTCCCTTGTCTTATTGTTGTTTTTTTAAAAATTATTTTGCTGATCGATGATGTAGAGTGTGCCTAAGGAGAGTCACATGGGGAGAAAACATTCTCTCAGGTTTTCACAGAGAGCACACTGGCCAAGCAATGGCCGTGACTCATCCACATAGCTGACACTGACAAAGGTTCTACAATCTGAGGTACAGGATCTCAGGATAAATCCTGAGGGCATTTCACTGACCTTCTCAGACCCAAAAGCTACAACTCTTGTTGCATAGGTCCTGCTTTAGAAAAGTATGAAGATGAAATATAGGAAGTAAAGCCATGCTGTTATGTTGAGCTGTGGGGGACTCAGGTCAACAATTTCTGACATTGCCAGTTAAGCGGAAGACCCAATACTATTATGGGCTACTGGACTCTTTTAGAATATTTTGCTGAGTTTACACACCTATAATATTCAAATAATGGAACTTAACCAAAAAAAAGGGTATACAGATGAATGTCCATTTTGTATCTGTGTATTCAAAGTGGTTAGGATAGATATATAGTTACATTCTCTTAATGAATAGGGGGATTTGTTCTAATGGTGTTTGTAAATGGGATGTCAGGTCCGCATCTTGTACAACAATTAACCACTAAGAAGAATGTATGCAGTGTGTTAATTATTGAAACTGTCCTACCGATTTGATTTGAAACTGTCTCATTGCTATTTTTTTATCAATAAACTATGGCAAAAAAAATTATTTTGTTGCATATGTCTAAAGAATACTGAGAAACAAAGAGGCAAGTATTTGCCCTTAAATAAATTTCAATAGTTTATCAATAAAATTATGGGAAAAATAAATAAATAAATTTCAATAGATGTAGAGAGAAAACAGGTATAAAAAAATGAAGGTCCCAGTTGGGGAGGCCTTCTGACATGCCAACAGAGCCAAGGCGTTAGGTATGTTGTAGAAAGAGTGTCTTAGGTCAGTGATGCCACAAATCTAAGTCCCCAAGCAGTAGCTCATCCTTTAAGAGTCTGATATGTTTAGAGAAAAAAGAGAAGCCATTTTAGAATCCACTGATACAAGAAATTTTCATGGGGAAAGTCAAATATGGAAGGGTTGTTAAAGGTGAGCAGGGCCCAGCGAGATAGCTTAGCAGATAAAGCACCTGCTTAGGCAAGGGCAGGAGCCGGGGTTCGATCCCTGGCACCACATGCTGCACCAGCCCCACCCCTAGGCAGTGGTGGTGCACACCTGTAATCCCAGTGCTGGTGCTGGAGAGGCTGAAAACAAGAGGATCACCACAAGTCCAATCTGCGTGGTAAGACCCTGTACCAAATACCCAAATGAAAAAATAAATAAATAAAAAGAAATGAAACTTCACATTAAACTAAAAATTTGCAAGTGACCATGCAAGTCCCACATCAAAACCTGATACCTACAAGCCAACGCCAGCCCATTAAAATAGTTTTGAGAGTTTGGTGTGGAAAAGGGGACCCATTTTTTTTAATAATCCATCAGCTGCACATCAAAGTCTGCATTTCTTAAAAACTTAGACTTTATGCCACTTGGGCACACTTCCACTACCAGAGTAAAAGCCCTGCAAGTATGGTCTGGTGACCCTGGGCATGCCTTGCACCCTTCCAAAATGTCTTCGGAGCTCTCAGATTTTCTTCCTATGCTCCAGCCAAAACCACTTATCAGAGATTGAATGCAGACAGGAGATCCTAGCTATCTTCTAAAGACATCAAAAGTGTAAAACTATCACACTTCATTTTCCATAAAAAATATTATTTAAGGGGCGGGAGAGATGGCTCAGCAGAATAAGCACTTGCCTGGCAAGCACAAGGGCCTGAGTTCAATCCTCAGTTCCTCAAAAAAAAAAAAAAAATATTATTTAAGCAAGCACAATTCCACAGCATCTTGTATAGATCCACTTCCTAGACCCAGACCCTGCAGGGATCTCAATTTTGACTCCTATCGCAGTGGGGAGCCAGGAAAAAGATTATTGATAGTCTAAGAGCCTGAGAACCACAGAATCTAAGACTCATAAAATGGTGAGGGTGAGATCCAAGAGCTCATACACAGTAGATATTTGCTATAAAAGAGAATACAGTGATTATTCATCAACTAACTTCGGTTAATTTGGTTATATGAAATGCTAAGAAATACGGCACATAAGCAGTAGAGAGTGACAGATTATACCCCGAAACCATTACCCCACCTCTGACGCCTTCTTCTTTTTCTGAGTGGCCTTTCGACTTATATTTCCTGGGTCTGTTCCCTTCACCTTCTTCTGCAATGGTCTCCATGGGTGCTTTGTTATCCATATCTTTGTGCTCAATCCTAGGAATAAGTCAGAATGTTTGTCTACTTCATTAGATCCGAACACAGTTCTAGAAAGCTACCCAGCTAACTTGCTGAGTCTGAAATAAGGTCACTTCCTAGAGGGGAGGGGCGTTCCGAGCAAGTGTCAAGGCCTCACTCTCTTTGAGGCCCAGTCTGGGAGCCAGCCAAGACTCTGTACAACTATACTGCAGGCTGAAAATCAGGTTTTATAGAAAGAAATTGCTTTGAAAGCCTCTATTTAACTTCTTGGTCTTGGCTCCAGTTTGAACATTTCTATGTCTTTGCTGTTCATGTAGCCAAGTGTATAAAGGGTCACATTCTTCTCCCTTTTTCTCGACTCCACTTCCCATGCTCTTCCCAGGCAAAAGTGAAGGACCTGAAAAGGATCAGTTTGGGGAGGTGGGTTCAACCAGGGTGTGTACAGGTAGGCTTTCTTTGTTCTCAGATATAGCGTATGGGGCAAATTGATAGGAGCCCTCATCTCTGCAACAATTTCTCTCTTGGAATTCTTCAGGCAAAATATGGCAAAGACAACAGTCATAAGTGCATCACAAAACAATCAAAATTAAAACATTTTAATCCATTGTTTTGTTTTCTATGAGAAAGGCAAGATGGGATGGAGACACCACTGGAGCAACTCGGGACCCTGCGAGGTGAGGGAATTTTGAAAAATCATAAAATATATATGAAAAATAAAAGAACCACAGGCCAGCAAGATAGCTCAGCAAACTAAGCACCTGCTTAAGCAAGAGCTCAGGGATGGGTTCAATCCTTGGCACCACAAGCTGCGCTGGCCCCACCCCCAGGCATGCTGAGCCGGCCACCGAGACCCTGCATGGTGGCGCATGCCTGTAATCCCAGCACTGGGGAGGCAGAAAACAGGAGGATCACTATGAGTCTGAGCTGCGTAGTGAGACCCTGCACCAAATACATTAAGAAAGAAAGAAAGAAAGAAAGAAAGAAAGAAAGAAAGAAAGAGATAAAGAACCAGAATAACCATAGCAATCTTGACATAAGGATAAATACTTGGGTTATCACAACACCTGACTTCAAAATATACTAAAGAGTGCATACACAAGGTCCCAAGTTTGATCCCTGGTACAGCAAAGAAAAAGAAAAACAAAACAACAACAACAAAAAAACTATGGAGCCATACTGACAGAAAGAGGTAAATCAATGGAATGGAGAACACAGAAGTGATTTCACAAGGCTACGGCCATCTGAATCAAAGACTTAAATATAACACCTAAACTGCTATAAGCAGACAAGCAGTCTGCGCCCCTGTCACCCTGAACTCGCCTGATCTTGTCTGATCTCAGAAGCTGAGCAGGGTCGGGCCTGATTGGTCCTTGGGTGGGAGAAAACACTTGGAGCCACGCACGTGCAGGGGCAGTGACTCCCTGAGGAGGACTCCTGTAGCTCGGGATCAGGAGCTCATGCCAAGAATTGAAAAGGGGGCTTGCATAAAGCTAAAACATTTCTACACAACGGAGGAAGTGATAACATGAAGAGGAATGGGAAAAAATCTTTACCAGTTACTCTTCCGATAGAGCATTAATATTGGGAATATATAAAGAACTCAAAAAGCACACATAAAAATCAAATAATCCAACCAAAAAAATGAACAAATGAACTTAGCACGTACTTCTCAAATGAACAAATACAAGTGGCCAGTAATTATATGAAAAATTGTCAGCACCTTTAGCCATCTGGGTGATACAAATCAAAACTACTCTGAAATTTCATCTCATCCCAATCAGAATGGCCATCAAGAATAGAAAAACAATAAATACTGACAAGAATATGATAAAGAATCCCTTATGCACTATTGGTGGAAATAGTAGTACAGCCACTCGGGCAATCAGCATGGATATCCCTCAAAAAATTAAAAATAAGGGCTGGCGAGGCAGCTCAGCAGACAAAGTGCCTGCTTAGGCAGGCTCAGGGATTGATCCCTGGCGCCACATGCTGTGCTGGTCCCACCCCTGGGCGCCCTGAGCCGGCCACAGAGACCAGGAGTGGTGGCGCATACCTGTTATCCCAGCGCTTGGGAGGCTGAAAACAGAAGAATCATGAGTCTTAGCTGTGTAGTGAGACCCATAGACCTTGTACTAAATGCATATTAAAAGGAAAATTTAAAAAGAACCACTGTTATTTAACTACAGAAAGTATATGTTATAAACTCTTCTTTGCTGGTGGGCTAAGAAAGACTGGAGAGGAAGAGAATGCATTAAAGGAACAAAAGCTTCTGAGGGTGAGGAGGGCCGGGATCAAGTCGGCACATAAGCAAGGAGGACTGGGGCCCAGAGAAACGCCCAGAAGGAAACACTCACCTTGGGAACGCAAGTATGCTGCCAGGCCGCTTCCCAATGGCCTCTCTGGAAGACAACACGGAGTCCACAGTGCCGGGCCTCTGCAGGGCAGAGATAGAAAAGGTTATACCCGGCCTGTGATCCGGGACAGACTCATCAGACACTACAGGCTGTCCCTGAGGCAAGGCACACCAGGACATTTAATATGATTAGTTTTGTCCAAAATTCAGTGAGGAAAAGTTTCAGTCTTCAAAGCAGTCACACTGGATGGCTGCACAGGGACTCCACTGCGGCCGCCTTTTCTCAAACCATCTCCTCTTTGGAAATCACCTCCATAGTTGTCAACTTCTTTCAGACACCTTTGGCCAGAAATTGTGCTTATTAAAACCATTAGAGAAATGAACAAACTGGTTGATTCTAGCCTTGAGCCCACTTTTTTTTTCCGGAACTGGGGATTGAACTCAGGACCTTGCACTTGCCAGGGACGTGCTTATTCTACTGAGCCATCTCTCCAGCCCTCTAGCCCACTGATTCTAAAATTAGGCAATTAAGTGAAAACCCTTGGTCCCAAGTGACCTCTCAATTGAATCTCACTGCTAACTGCTATGTGACCTTAGGCACTAGGTTTATGGGGCAATAATGGATTTCTAGGATGAGCTACTTTATCTGAGGGAACCCATAGCAAGTATTCAACATATAGCTACCATACTTTTTTAAATTTTTTATTTATTTGGTATAGGTCTCACTACACACCTCAGAGTCATAGTGATCCTCCTGTCCCAGCCTCCCCAGCACTGGGATTACAGGCGTGTGTCACCACACCTGGTTCCAGGGCCGGCACAACATGCAGTACTGGAAATGGAAGCCAGGTCCTTGTGCTTGCCAGGCATGCGCTTGGACGGCTGAGCTATCTCCCCACACTGCTACTATAATTCTTATACTATATAATAACCATGCTATTCCATTATTAGTATAGCATAATATAGAAAGTATTATTTTTTCAATGAATACTATGACCTACACAAAAGGCTTTAAAGGGAATTTCCAAAAAGAAGTTTTTTGGGTGTTTTTATTTTTGTTTTTTTAGAGCAACATCACTGAAATAAGCCCCAGTTCCCAGGAGGACTCTCTCTGAAGGGCAGTTTTCACACTAAGTCACAAGGTATTTGAGAGCAAAACTATCACTGCCACTGCTTTGCAGTGCACGTAGTTAACGGGCCACTGACGGGGTGAGATTAATCCAGAGCTCCGTGATTCGGTACAAACTAGCTGCCGTACAGCCGGGCTTGCCAGCTCCTTCGCAAGCTGCTGGGCTCCGTGCCTCGGCATCGGAGCAGGACTGACGAGACTGGAAGTTCTTGATCTGCTTTGGCCTCCGACTCCTCTTTTTACACAATATCCTCTTTAAAATGAATTACTTGGGGAAGTGTCTCAAAAGCTGTGCCTAGCCATGTGTAGTGGCACAAGCCTGTAACCCTCGTGTTCTAGGAGCTGAGGTCAGAGGATCAAAAACGGGAGTTTAGCCTGGTCAACTTAGTGATGTAGGAAGACCCTGTCTCAAATTTTCAAAAGGGCTGCATATGCAGTTCAGTGGGAAAGCCCAGGGTTGAGACCCCAGTAATGAAAAAATGAGGCGTCAGAGTTCGGCACACCAAGCAAAATGCTATCTTGTCTTTGAAACACAGAATGAAGTTCCAAGTTCAACAGAAAGAATTCCAGAGGGCAAGAGATAAGTCACTTTGGCCTTGCTTATAGATTTGCAAATCTTTCCTTGTCTTGTCTTGTCTTGTCTT